CAAAGTGGCTACTTTTGCATCAGACACCCTGTATAATATACTAAGTATGACAAGATATAAATACAATGAAATAAATTGGTTAATTAATATTTAATTACTAAAAATCCTATCCAAAATATAGATACACATTTGTCAAAAACATGTCCGTTACCCGAGTAGAAATAAAATCATGCATGTCTTATGTATGGCTAACTTGAATATATTGCACTAGTACCACTCACTGCCGCGGCGTGGCGACCGCGCGTTAGTCTTTCTCGTAAGTAAAAATCATTCCGTATTAGTATAAGAGGCGAGCCGATATGATGCAACAGCAAGTTGTCTGGATCATGGATAATCTTCAATAACCTGAATATACTTTTGATGACTATGTAATTTAATACATTTTTTAAATTAGTTTAAAAAATTGAATTTTAACCGTACTATATACCTACCCTACTTTCGACCTATTTTGAATTTATTTTGGATATCGTTAAAACATCCAAGATAAGTCCAAAACAGGTTCGACAACTTACATATCTTAGACATTTTTTTGATGTTCGAGGTTGTGTCAAACGTATGTGTTATGGATGTCCATCAGACGTCCGACGAATCTTATTTGGACCAAAAATAGATGTCCGACGTCCAGAAAGTAGACGTTTAATGGACATCCACTGAATGTCCATGTGCTATCTGGGTCCATTGGTGGACTAGTGGGAGGTGTCAGGGAGTTGTCTTCCTTATTGGCAACCCGACCATTAAGTCGTTGTCGCCCTTCGATATTTATTTATGGGTATCATTTCCTTCAGCGGCTTTCGAAAAATTCCGAGTTTCACTTTTGGGTCAAGTTTTGGTCAACATCTGAATCCCCGTTTAGTGTCTCGGATCGTAATATTTTAGAAATCTGAATTTTGAATTTGCCGTCTGAAAGGGCCTGATCCCATCTGTTTGCTGTTTCTCCCCTTTTTATTGTCTCAACGGCTATCGACCAGCAACAATTAGGGCACTTCACGTTTCGAGTTTCGAAAAGTGAAACTCTGGCAATAAATTTTTAGTGAGGAAGGGACTCATGTGTTGGCCAGTCGACATCCGCTGATTTCTTAAAATTGTCGTTTCAAAGGGAAGAAAAACATATTTCTTATGGTTTGTTGAAAGAGAGAAATCGTGGAGTCCACAGGACGTAACACTAATTACACACTCACACCGGGTCTACTAATACACACTCATACTGTGTACGTGAGAACGCTGTCGTGGAACGGAAGCGACATCTCGATTAGGATTTAGTACTAGCAGCGATGACAATTTTTGGGCTCAGAATCTGACGCATCCGCCCATATAAAGCCTAGTGCAGACTGCACGCAGCAAGCGGCAAGCGTCGAGCAGCGAGTATCCAACACTGCTGAATTTTGCGGAAGCGTCAGCAGTGGCGTAGAAAATATCTCTTCGTTGATTGGCTGCTGCTCGACGCTTGCTGCTTGCTGCGTGCAGTCTGCACTAGGCTATAAGTTGACCCTCCTTATCTCTATTCTTCATGTTCATGATTTATCCCCTCCCGACTTCTGTTTATCAGTAGTTTATCTACCGTAGCGCCGCCGGTGTACATATTTTGAACTACCACAGAAACCGGGTTTTGGTCTCATTCTCGAAAGCATTAGTTGAGCCTCCTTATCTCTATTCTTCATGGTGTCGAGACGGACGACTCGCGTTGTGGGCACGGGCGTGCGGACGATGAATCTTCTCCGTGGAATAATAAGAGTAATAATTTTTCAGTAATTGTGCCTTTGAGAGATTTTCCTATCCATTCCTATTTGTTTGAATTTCCTAGTTAAGTATAATACTGTTCAAATAGACCGCTAGTAATGGCCGAAACTGTGCGGCGTTCTCTATTGGCTGATCCCAAACTGAAACTCATGATGCGCATTGCCTCACCTTATTTCTTTCCACCATGCCTTATATCTTTCCACCATGGCTGTAACAAACCAGCACTGCATCATCATACACACCCTGCGCTAACTGTAAACAAAGAGATTGTATTAAACTTTGTAGCCTGTATATAATTTTCCGTTATATGCGGTCACGGTCGAGCGGATACGGTGCGACGTCGCGAGGTTTTTGGAGTTTTTAATCCCTTTGGAGGACGGCCGGGATCTTGGCACAAAAATTATTTAACCTCACGGACATGGTAAGTGGGCGAATGTGAATTCGCTCCCGTTCGAATATTCCGTCGAAGAATAGCGACAATTAATCGTGTTACTGACGCAAAGAAACCGTAGCGTCCCTCGTTTTACTTCTATGGAATATTTCACTGGGTTCGGACGTACGTGGCAGTCTACTGTGACGTTAATTTTGGAGTCGGCAATAACTATACCTTTATAACTTGCATATGTACACATTCATATATTGAGAATTTGTTCTGTATGAGTTGTACAGATAAAGTTCAAGTTTTCTTACTGCATTTGTTCTGTAATGCTGCTCCAGGATGACGACGAGCATTATCAAAGCGGTTATGACGACCACTATCAAAGTGGTTCCTTCCCGAAGGACTTTGGGTACGCGCCGTTCGATGGCGAAACGGAAGGATCTATGGATCCATTGGCCGGGGAGCAAAAGCCCAGAATACTTTTGATGGGTCTCAGACGGTAAGATCGGGTTGTTTGCAGCGCAGACGACGTTTCGCAAACTTGTCGGATGCTAAAGCTGATGGCAGAAAAGAATCCGTGAGCGCTTAAGACTGTCTTAAGTCGTAGACGTAAGGCAAGGCAGAGAAACACTTAAGTTGTATACGACAGCCTTTCACAAGTTGTCTATGACTTAAGACAGTCTTAAGCGCCTACGAATTGTTTTCTGCCATCAGTCTAACCCGAGGAGAAATGGAAAGTCAAGATGACGTCGGTTTGATGTCACATTGATCACAATCTGACGTAAATTTGGTCAACGTGACGTCGTCTTGACTTTTCACTTCTCCTTGGCTTAATGCTTTATCCCTTCTGTTCTTCAGTAGCGGCAAATCGTCGATACAAAAGGTGGTGTTTCACAAGATGTCACCCAACGAGACGCTGTTCTTGGAAAGTACAAACAAAATCATTAAAGACGACATAAGCAACTCGAGCTTCGTGCAATTTCAAATATGGGACTTTCCCGGGCAAATCGACTTCTTCGATCCCACTTTTGACAGCGACATGATATTCGGCGGCTGTGGCGCGCTGGTGTTCGTGATAGACGCCCAGGATGATTACATGGAGGCGCTTAACAAACTCCACGCGACGGTCACCAAGGCGAACAAGGTCAATCAGGCCATCAAATTTGAGGTTTTCATCCACAAGGTGGACGGATTGTCGGACGACTGTAAAATGGAGACGCAAAGGGATATACATACGAGAGCCAATGACGATTTAGTGGACGCCGGTAAAAGATCTTGAGAGTACGATCGAGGAAGCGAACCCTGGCTCCCACTTTATGTATCTTTTCTTTTTAGGATGCGATCAAATACACCTGAGCTTTCACTTGACCTCGATATACGATCACAGTATATTTGAAGCGTTTAGCAAAGTTGTTCAAAAGTTAATACCACAGCTGCCTACTTTAGAAAATTTACTCAATATACTCATATCGGTAAGATAATCGTGTATTTTCCTCCTTTCTCTGACGGCAGCGAAGCCCTGGAATATCTAAAAATGTTATTACGCTCGCAGAATTCAGCAATCGAGAAGGCATTCCTATTTGACGTTGTCTCAAAGATATATATAGCGACGGACAGCTCACCTGTTGATATGCAAAGTTATGAACTGTGTTGTGATATGATCGACGTTGTTATTGATGTTTCTTGCATATACGGGTAAGTAATGATATTTCGATCGCGTACACGTGTATATACTTGATATGTTTGTGTCTTTCCTCAACACTTTTATCTACTTTAGATTGAGAGAGGACTTGGAGGCCGCCGCGTTCGACAACCAAAGTTCCAGTTTAATTAAATTAAACAACGGTACAATCCTGTACTTGCGCGAAGTAAACAAATTTTTAGCGCTGGTCTGCATCCTGCGAGAAGACAATTTCGATAGACAAGGTGAAAATGGTTATTTTGATTTTATACGTGAAAGAAAAACGATGTCTTCTTGCGTAATAATGCATCATAATTACACTTTCCGCAGGCGTGATCGACTACAACTTCCTCTGTTTCCGCAAGGCGATACAGCAAGTGTTCGAGTTACGAAACAAAGCGTTAGCCGCGACAAATGCGAACAATCACTCGTCCTCTCCCGTTAGCACTAACGAAACGTCGAACGCTCCCGCGGTGTCGCAGACCGGACCCATCGGACAAAACGGCACCGTTGTAATCGCACAGAGTTAATCTTTACGTGCAATCTATATACAGAATTTATCGAGCGAATGTAACATAACGGATCTTGATATTAACTTTATTATTGCTCATTTCTCTTTCTTGCAAATATGCGCGTTACAAGCATCTCTTTTCCTCTATTTAATATTAATTCTACTTTTTATAATATATTATTAAATATGAAATATATATATATCTTTCGTACCAAGAAATGGCTCACGCAGCTGTGTATAAGTTGTCATAAACATGTTACCAAACGTATGTTATGATTTCGTGTTTTTAAACTGTAACCCCAAAATTATTATAGCGGAACTTTTACAATTGATATTTGTTACATAGAGTATTGGAGTGCATCTATGTCTTATCGGTTATTGCTTTCCTTATGTATCTTAATGAAATATATGGCAGTATACATATGTGTGTATTTAAATCTATATCTGTACACGTTTTACACGTACCATACTTACGTTCTTTTTCGAGTTCTTAAGTTACAGTACACGTTTATTATAATTTGTTAAATATTTCAATAATTGTATAATCTTATAATTATCACAATGTAGAAATCGCGATTTCATTGTATACGGAAAATAGCATTAAGTCGAATATATGTATTTTTTTATCTGTTGGCTTGAAATACTCCTCACGATGTTGTAGCAATATCTTTTACCTCGTCGTGTAAAGCACACGATGAATTTAAAACGTGGAATTGTTCCTCGTATCGATACCAACGCATGTAAGAAAAGGTCTGTTCGTACTCGTTTAAGGACACTTCAATGGGTAACATGAATGACTCCGGACTAAAACTTTAAAAAGTTAGTAATTGCACGCTTCAACTAAAGGTAACATACGTCAGTCGCATTCTTTTACCTCGTTTGCCAGGCCCTTTCGTGAATTAATTTTGGGACTAGTAAAGGGATGCCTGACGGTGGTAAACTCTGGTGTGCGATTTCTGTCAATAAAGTACGACCGAGGTCGGTGATAAGTTTAATGAATCTTTCACTATCTTCGAATGCTCTGCTATCGATGCAGGCCGCAGACACCGGTATCAATTTATCTGGAAGGGATCGGATGGGAAACAGGATATTGGATAACTATTACACTGGTAATCGTACGCAGTGATAGAAGAGCGATCGATGCAACTTTAAACAATTTTTATTGCTACAAAAAATAAAGTAACATTTTTCCTCTCGATTATATAATACAAAAACAATTATTGTAAAAAATAAATACGCAACGTTGTACGTTATAAATATTACAGATCTTTGCGCAGCGAGTTTGCGTATCTCGGAAATAATTAGTATAAAAAATTATTAATATTTACGATGAACGAGGTAATAATATCACTGATCTAGTACAATAACGGCTGAATACTACATATACATTGCTGTAGTATTGAGCAATAGTTGTTGCGAATGAAATGGAACTGATGTTGTTAATCCCAAGTGGAAAGATCAGGGTGCACACTGATAATGTTAAACCGGTACGAGGTGACGTTTTATTAATACAAAATTAAGCACATGGCATACTGCAATTAAAGGCTGAACTTAAGGCGGTCACTGTAAATAAAGCAAGGGAAGAATGTTATGTATGTCAGAAGCGATACTGTTAATTCATCATGCAACAATTTAACAGGTAGTTAACATTTTGTCAGTATATGACAAATATATTCTGGATTCGTCTCGACATGTCGGTGCATGTTAAACACATTGACGTATCTTTCAATGATTGATTGAAAAAATAATTAAACATTCTTTGTTTTAACATTGTGGCGATTGGCAAACTGTTTCGATAGTATTTATGAACGACCGATCGAACTGTAGAATTGTGGGCGATTGCATTGAAATACATCAAGTACCGCTAATAAATTGTAAAACTTACAATAATCTGCGTCCTTGTGTTGTACCGCATTGTGCAAAGCCAAGGCAAGATATGTGTGGTATTTTATGTAACTCTGCTCCATTACATCCAATTCTGTAGCGGCTAACAGCAATCTCTTGCGTGACCATCTGTCTCGTATATGAATACACATTTCGATCATCTGAAACGTAATAATTGAGCAGTAATTTTTATACAAATCGATATCTCGCCATTTAATCGCCCAATAGGAATACATACGTTATTTATAGTTATCATTAAATCCTGAAATTCTTCTGTTAATAAGCAATGCTCGTGAACTTTGTTTAAGTACTCATCGTGCACTGCAAAAGAATCATTTATATTTGTTAAAATTATTAGGGTTTGTTCATGCAGTATCTCTTTTGGGAGGAAACTACACATTTCGCAGTCACACACGATAAATTTCTTTCACTCCCGTGAAGATATCACTACCTGATATAATGCTATCGAGACTATCCGCCTGAGCTAAAACTTTTTCTAGTATGAAACCTAAGCTCTGTAATACTTGGCCGGACAAGTATGTATGTATAGATCCTATCGCGTGCAGCAGCCAAAATCTTAAGCACTCGAGGCGTCTTATGTGGAACTGTTCTAATCTATCTCTTATGCACGGTGACTTGGAACCCTCTAGATCTGAAAAAAATGATAAACTGATACAAACGTGTCGTAGAAAAATATCGTACATCTTAAACTGCATTCGTTACTTACCATAAAATCTCAAGTTATTTAACGTCCATAAAGCCCACTTCAATTTCAGTTGAAACCTGAATATCTCATTGTACTTTTCCAAAACTTTTTTAGTCAATACGATGCTTATAGGCCATTCTACTGTATAATGCAACGTTATACTATTTACAGCTTGTAACACCTGATGAGTACTGATATTGCCGTAAACCGTGATTGACCAGCGTGAACTTGTATCTGACCAATATTGGGAAAACACCTCTTCAAGAATACACGACAGAAAATACGAATTAGCCCACATTTGGTTGTTTTCAATCTAGAATAGATAATTGTTGGATCACAAGGGAACGTTGTTACTACTTCAAGAGCTAAGATCTTTCTCCTTTTACCTCGTGAAACAAGATTTGGTAAAACTTATTCATAACGTGTCCAGCTTCCATCATATAAACAAATCTCAACAGCTTCAAGTGCGTTTGCAGCTTATATTCCTCAATCATAATGTTTCTTACCAATTTACTGGCGCTGTTGTAGCGCAGTATTAAAATCTCAGACAATGTATTCTCCAAAATGTTTTGCATCGGCAATATATACTTTATCTTTTGCAGTCTACAAGGCAATATACAGGTTGAATAAAAAGTACCGGACCGGTGAAATATCTCGACAAATATGGGAGATACGGAAGAATGTTTCAGACAAAAGTTGTACGGTTCTAAAAGGGCTATATAATGGTAAAATAAATTCTCGAAAAAATATATTTTTTATGGTTATATAGAGGTCGCCATCATTTTTTAAAATGGAACTCCCTATTGTTTATTATGCTATCTTATTCTGCTAATTAATATGAACAACTTTTGTCTGAAACATTTTTCGATTTGCCTAATACCTTTTGAGATATTCAAGAGAAAATTTATAACTTTCAATGTTTAGCTTATAATCTCTCGATAACTGTTTGTCGGAGGGAAAAGTATAATAGTACAGGACTTTTTACTGTATTGTAACACATAAAATTTATATACACAAAAATTTTCAATAATTATAAACTAAACATTGAAAAAGTTATAAATTTTCTCTTGAATATCTCAAAAGGTATTAGGCAAATAAAAAAATGTTTTAGACAAAAGTTGTTCATATTAATTAGTAGAATAAGATAGTATAATAAAGAATAGGGAGTTCTATTTAAAAAAATGACGGCGACCTCCATATAACCATAAAAAAATTTTTTTTCGAAAATTTATTTTACCATTATATGTATAGCCCTTTTAAAACCGTACAACTCTTGTCCGAAAGATTTTTCCATATCTTCCATATTTTTCGAGATATTTCACCGGTCCGGTACTTTTTACTCACCCTAATGTATAAATTACACTTTAATATATTCACTTTTTGTAAATACATATAGACATTTACTTTTTGTATAAATTATACATCTGGTCTTGCTTCGTTTTAGAACTGTGAGTACTGTGCGCACGAGCATCTACCGTATCGTTTTTATACAATTCACACGGCAAGTAGTCCTCCATAGCTTTCATGAGAAATGGATTGTGTAAAATTGATAACTGTTGTATTATATTCTTCTCAATATCGGTATCACGTTCTCGCAATAACAGTTTATTTATTTGCGGTGCGGTGTCTGTCTCTTCCACTGACAGACTATATTTAGATATTTCTGATAACAATTTATTTTGCAGTTCAACGTTTAATGAAATCCTTATGTCTGCAATATAACGAGCCATAATGAGATACAAGTACAGCACGAGAGGAAGAATGATATGTGTATAAATTTGTCTGACAAAGACCATTGTACTCATTATCCATCCTCCATATATCAGCAATTCGATCCAAGGAAACAAGCAATTCAATACTGTGTCCCATATGTTGCACTTTTTGCAACAAGAATTGCATAATTGGATCTGCCAGGCAGATACTATCGGATAATCGAGTCGTAAATTTTTCAGTTTGTTCATTTTCATCCTCTCTGACCCTAACGTATAACAATTAAACAATGAAATGTAAACATGAAAATATGTATGGCAAGTTAATTCTAATCTCTTATTTTCCACTTACCTCACAATTATAAATTCATCCTGCCAATCTTCTAATCGTCCTTCGCTCAGCCACGTATCAATTATGTTAAGATAAACGGTAAGGCTACGCAGATACAAATTCATACAAATATTTGCTTTCTCTTGACTATGAGAATTTTGCATCTCATAATACAAGGATGATAATAGTCGAGATGCACATTTCCAATTAGGATTAACTTTCCAATCAATTATTACTTTCTGGTGTATATCGTGGAGCATTTTTATAGTGTTCAAATGTCTTCTCAGATCAGCCGATAAAGATAAGAGCGTGTTGCAATTTTCTAGGACATAAAATAATATTCAGCAACGAGCTTACAACAGCACATCGTGACATCGTGAACATGAAGTTATGTGAGCTTACCTTGCTTCATAATATCCTTTTCCATATTAATCACTTCGGTCTTAAATTCACATAGGTGTTGTTTAAGCGCAGAACTGTATGCCTCGTAGGTCAAAGGAGGACTCTGTAGTTCTGAATTTTCGTTACAAATTGGTTGCAAGTCAGTTCCAAACCTTTCGATATCATGTATCATTGAAAAGTATTCGCAGTATGGTGACAGGATACTTTTGAAAGCTATCTGAAAATAGATAAAATAGATAGAATAAGATAAAGTAACAAAATATTGCATGGGCAACAAGAGCAAGCAGACGGTGTTAAGATACAATACTTTTGTAAAAAAAAGCCACACAAGTACAAATATTTTGTTATTTTGTGTAACAGAGCCCAATTTACTTTTGTTCAGAACAAGATAATTCCTTGGAATAAAATCATACGTAAAAGATCATATGAGAAAATGTAAGAATGCTAAGAGCCAATCGTATAATTGTACGCACAGTTGTCAAACTTGGTATAGATACGTCAGAACGTATTGAGAACTTGGATTCGTCGTCTTGTTGAAACACCACCATTGGCGTTTGAACATAGAACATCCACAAAAATTCTCTGCACACTTGATATTCACTGAGAGTAGCTACTTTGCTTGAGGCCAACAAACTCGTTTCGTGCCTGCAAGTACATTAACGCTATCAGGTATATAGCCATCGCCTTTTACACGAAATAACTGAAAGAACTAAAGTACCATATGTCACATATACTGGTGTCACAAGTTTGTTTGACAACGGGATACTTTTGACATCCTAGATTATTCCACCAGTCGGTTTGAACATTTGACAAGAGCCACTTTCTAGATTCGAGATTCTGCAGCAACGCCAAGGAAAATTTGTCCGTTACGCGATCGGAATCTTCTGGAGACGGCGCCACGTCCAATCGAGCATTACATATTTGCGTCGGCAAAGAAATATCATTCTGGTCGGTCCCTTCTTCTTCCGTCAAATCGGACCATTCCTATAAAATTAAAAGCGTTACAAATGACAATCTTATTGAAATGTATCCCTCACGCAGATACCTACACTCTCGCTATCGTCGCTCTTGTAATCACAAAAGAAATCCTCCTGACCTTCCTTCAAATATTGCGCCCAGTCTATTTCCTCTGTGATGCTATCCTCATTTTCAGTAACCGCGTTAAAACTGTGCTCGCCGCGCGCGAGTTTCAGACTGTCCAAGCTGGACTTGTGAGTTTCAGTGGACAGATCCAGCAGGAACGTCAACAGGCACCACTGCAGATCGTACTGCGGATGCTGCTCAAAGTCGAAGCTCGACAGAAAAGAGTCGACGAGCTCCTGAAACTTCTTAGCGACCTCGTATTTTCCGTGAATCGAGAATTTTGTGACAATTGCGTTCACCGCCTCCCTGGTTGCGTGACTGTCCACAGAGAGATAGCGGTGGTGTTTGATGTTCGACAAACAAACTCGTTCGCATATCCGAAATCCTTCCTCGGCTTCCTGCACATGTGAAGATTTGTATCTCGCAAGACGTCATTAGCTGCTTTCCTTTTACACTCAAGTGATACTGAGTCACTTAGTTATGTGAGTATTTTGTACTTGGATATGACGTCATTAATGTGAGTCTATTAAACTCACTAAAGTACACAGTCTTGATTGTATGCAAAAACTCAGTTAAATCTGGTTGAATCTCACTTCTCAAGAATCAAAAGGAACATGCATTCAACTGAGTTACGACGTCACAAGTGAGATTTATCTGAGTTTTCATGTAAAAGGAAAGCAACTATTGTTTCCACTCGTGTCACAAGTATTAACTTGACAGCATACGTACCTCAAACAACGTAAGCGCCGTTATAAGCCGCTTTAAATCATTGTGGATGTCGTTCAATATCCGGGTGCTCATTTTTACCTTGTGCCGAGATCCATTAACAAATATGATTACATTGATGCGTGCTAAAAAACATTTAATGTGTAACAGTCCTCTGATTCAACAGATCGAGGAAAACAATGTAAGAGCAATAACAGTTTCACAGAAATACAAATTAAAAAATATACATGAAATTTAACATTCAATCTAAATCACAAAAGTTTACGTTTATTTCAAATAAATGTTTAATTTATTCGGTCTTGTCTTGTATCTGGAGGATAGATTTTCTAACCTACAAAAACACCTGGTTACCATTTTAAAGTGCAAAAACGATGATTTTTGTCTCCCAGAATTTGCTTTTACAGAAACAAGCATCAATCAAACATGTCATCATCTAAATCCGAAAAGAACGGCCCAAATTGCTTGCAAGTTGCATCTCGCGATAAAGATCCGAACCATGAAGCCTGTATAAAGAGACCGAACTCCCGTAATCGGAGTGGGCCGAGTGGGCCGACATTTTTGAGAAATATTCGTTCCGAAAAGAACCACTGGGAGCCCTGTCAACGGACAACTCGATTAAGGCCTTCACACATAAAATTCCGTAAGGACGTAAAACGTAAGC